GAAACCGTCAAGTCTGGAAAGGAAGTGGCTGCCTAATTTCTCAGTTTTAGGGGAATAACGGGATTTTTAAAGTAAAAGGTGTGGGGTTTTTTGCTGATCAGGGCTGATCCCAAGGGCTGATCCAGCACAGGGCAGGGAGAGGACACTAAAGGCCGGCTAATTTTTAGTATTTTTGGCATTTTGACGCAAAAAAACCTGTCCTTTCTTCCTTCTCAAGGTCCTGCGCAGAGGACAGGAACGAGAGTGTCAGGCCGACGGGGTGAGAGGCAAAAAGAACAAAGGCATCGTGTTTGTGTCGAGCAAAGGTTCGTGGCGCTGGAAGATTCCTGGTGGGGTATTGCTGTTGTTTTCCTTACGGAGTCAAGCATGGAAATAATCAGTGCGCGCAAGCCAACAGCCTCCTGCCTGCCGGTATTTGGTTTGTTCGTCTAAAACCACTTCTGCTCACATCCCGCGAGGAGTTTCGGAGAGATCTGAAGCCTCTCAAACCCCTGGAAAATAAAACCAACCTCAAGAGGATACTGGAGGGCAGATTTCCCTACCTGCTCACCCCAAATCCTCGGCTTGGATCGCAGCGGCGCGGATCCTTCCCCGCCTGTAACCACGATTCACTTAACCGGGGTCTTACTGGGAACCGGTGGGGCAGCGCTGGAGGTTTTGCTTGGACTTTATTGGTTTCTTGCTCCCTAATTCACAGTTTGAACGCCTGCGGGACAGAGAAAGGGCTTGGAAGGGAGAGGGAAGAGCCACGGGGAGGGAGGGGAGAAGGTGACGGCGGCGAAGGGCTGGGGCCGCATTATCTTTTTGCTCGCACAAAGTACAAGGCATTTGTTTTGGGATAGTATTTCACGTTTTGTTTCTTGTCCATGAGGCCACCGAATATGATTAACTCCCCTCTGCCTTGCACCACCGTGTGTAAACTGGTTTCGGGTGGCCCCACCACCGAACTGCTGTTGAACACTTTCCATTTGACTCGTCCTTTTTCCTTCGTGTCTTTAATGTCCAGCACGTACATCTGCATGGGTTTGCAGTTCATGCTCTGGTATAAAGGCTTCCCCACGTTGAGGGATTGGGGAGGGTGGTGGCCCAGGCGACGAGCGATGGGAGGTAAGGAATGGCCGTCGCTTTGGGCAGAGCCCGGACGTGCTGCCGAGCCCGTCTCGGCGCCCGGGGAACCCGGGGAAGAAGCCAGGGGAGGGCTCAACGCCGCAGAAGCCGAGGTGGCTTTGGAAGAGAGGGCTTTGACCGCCTCCAAGCTCCTCCGGAGCGCGCCAGGGGAAACGGCCCCCGGGAGGGAGCCGGCGACGTGGGGCGGCGTGTGGATGCCGTTGGTTTGCTCGGGGGGGTTCCTGATGCTCGCGCCGACTGTCCTGCCCTCCGCACCGTCCATCTGGCAGATGACGGAAGCCGGTTTCTGTTCCCAGCTCAGGTCAACGGAGCCCAAACGCAGATCTTTCTGCTCCGGCAGCGATCCTCGTCGCGGCGCCAGGGCGAGCCCAACTTTGAGGTCGTATCCTTCGGCTGCGGAAGGCGTGCTGGGCGATACGACCTGCACGGGGCTGTCCAAGGAGGCACCGCCGGCCGCCGTGGC